AAAGATCAACTGTTATCATACCAGGACTGTTGAGAACAATGAATAGGTATGAGGTTGAAGTGGGCCAGCTGAAGATATGTTTGCTTGTCTCGTGGGTTTTGTTTCTGTTGTTTGTGTTGTTTTGGAAATAGGAATTAGAGGTTAGGACTTTTTTGTTGGTAGTAACCACTTAAAAATGTTGTCTTTTGGTGCTAGAAGGTTTAATTGTGGTTTATATATGTTTTTGTTGGTAGTAACCACTTAAAAGTGTTATCTTTTGGATCATTGTATATGTAATGCTTTTATGACAATGGGAAGTGTAATGGTTTTATCCTTTTATGAATATGAAATTATAAAGGTTTGATCTTGACATGATATGCAAGTGTAATGGTTTTTCTCTACGTTTGAATATGCAATTGTAATGGTTTTATATGCATACATTAGGTACATTGCCATAACATCTTCATGCTTTGACAGTACAACATAAATAAATAACAAACAACATTACCAAAAGGGGACCATAACAGATAAATGTCAAAACACAATCATTACCAACAAAGGGCATTAAAGTACATTATCAAAAGGGCATCAAAGTACATTATCAAAATGGAACAAAAAAAAAGGCAACAAAGTACCAACTAAAGTGCATTAACAAGTCTTGACAAACATAAAAAGTACTTAAACATCAATTCCCATCTTTGGCCTTGCAGGTCCTGGCATTGTGACCCTTTTGCTTACACTTACTACATGTCATAGTCAAAAACTTCCTGCTCAATGATTGAGTTTCATTATCATTTTGACTTTGACTGTTTGCTTGCCTCTTACGTTGCTGGATTTCAATCCTTTCCTCTGCTGTAATCCTTCTTTTCTTTTTTGGCCTGCCTATAGCTTTGTTGTGTGGTGGAGGCACAAGAGTTGTTGGGCAGTCACTCTTAGGCCACATGGCTCTACCTTTGATAGGCTCCACCTTGAAGGAGTACATCTCTTTCCATGTATCAAGCCAATACACCTTATGCACATAGGTGTATAGTTCTCCTACCTTTTCATTGTTGTCTGCCATTTCATTTAGGCTTGCAATAGCATGTTTGCAAGGAATTCCAGTAAGCTCCCACTTTCTACAACTACACTCCCTTTTCTCCATGTCCACCACATGTTGATCATTCCATGGACCTTTAACCTGATACTTTTGTCCCCCATTCCATCGTGCATGATACTTACTAGCTAGTGTTGTGTTTGCTTCCAAAATCCTAGTACCAGTTGGAGTTAATGGACCTTGACACTTGTTTAACACCTTCATCACATTGCATACTCTCTTCATAAGGTACTCTCTGATGAACTCCAAACAACTGATAATGGGTTTGTCTCTCCCTTTTACAAGTTTGCTATTGAACACTTCACAAAGGTTATTCAATAACATGTCTGAAATTGCCCTTCCTAATAGTTCATTAACAAAACAACAGTTAGTGTATATCTATACTACAATAAAAAATAAGACAACAAATTGAGAAAATACCTGAAAAATGACTTCTAGCCCAATGATGTGGAGGGATTTTCAAGAGCCATTGATATGCTTCTATGTCATAATTCCTTAGCTCTACCATTACAGCTTCAAACTCTGGTATGGTGGTGGCTGTAGCACACCTCCAAAAATACTCCTTGTACTCTGTAGTCTTAAATAACTTCCTCATGTTCTGGTATATGTGTCTAATACAGAACCTGTGTTCTGCATTAGGGAACAATTGTTCTATGGCTGGTAGAAGACCCTGTTGTCACCAAAACAAAATAAGAAATTAGCATTAGTTTGTAATGAAACTAGTATGCAATATTAAATGTAACTATAGTACCTTCTGTCTATCACTGATAAAGGTGAAGTTGGAATTTGAATACAAGTCAAGATCTTCTGCAAGACACTGAAGAAACCATTTCCAACTTGAAGTGTTTTCACTTTCAGCAACAACATATGCCAATGGGTAGGTTCCATTGTTGGAATCAACACCAACTGCACTTAGTATTTGACCTGGGAAAGGTCCCTTCATGAAGGCTCCATCTAAGCCTAAAAATTCTCTCAAACCTGCCTTAAAACCTTTCTTCAAAGGACCTAAACACACGTATATCCTTCTGAATTGCCTGGTTGGGGATGAAACCACAGGTTCTGAAACCACATCAATCTTTACAGTTGTACCTTCATTTGTCTTTTGTAGCTCTAGTACATAGTCTCTCAAAGCTGCATATTGCTTTACGTAATCCCCTGCAACATTTTTGGTGGCTAATGCTTTTGCCCTAAATGCTTTCTCTTCTGAAATACTAACTCCATAAGTTGATTGGAGTTGCTCTTGTAGGGCACGAACAGGCAGTCCAGGATTAGCTTCAATCTGATCCATAATACGTTTGGAAAGAAATGTTGCTGTGCAAGATCTGATTTTTCGTGTTTGGAGGCAGATGTGTTTCTGATTATAGGTCTTAATAAACCAATAGTCCTGTTCACTTGACCTAGATGCATGAAGTTTCCATGTGCATTTAACTTTATCTGAGTTTACATCTTTACCCTTTACCTTTTTCCCAGAGGTAGGTCCACCTACCCCACTTGCATTTAAAACTACAGTTCCATCACAAACAGCTGTTAATCTACTCTTGTCGTTTTTTGTGAATGAGATATTCCTCCTTGTCTCTAAAGCATGCAGGTCAATTTTATCTTTCAATTCTTTCTTGGCTTTATATTTCTGCCCAATATGAAAAGCTACCTTGTGCACCTCACCAGCAGAACATAAGGTTTGTTTCCCCAGCTCTTTGATCATTTCTCTTCTTTTCCTGTTGTCCCCTGAGTCATCACTTAGTGAATCCCACTCGTCATTGTCAATTACCTCCAAATCATCTTCTTCATCACTATCTTCATTTCTTTGACCACCCATTCTTTGACATCCATTGAACTCTGCTTCTGTATCAATATTTAGATTGAAATCCTCCATGTCAACGTCAACATCTTCAATTATGTTGTCCTCATCAATCATAAAGTCACTATCTTCATCTTCACTGTTTTGATTCTCAAACTCAATGTCATCAGGCTCCTCTTGTCTCCACTCATCATTGAAAGGAATATTATCTTGGCCTTCAAACCCATTAAATGGGATGCTATCTTGGTCTTCAAACCCTTCAAAAGGTTGAAAGTTTGTCATTAACTCATCATCTATGTTGATGTTAGTTGAAAATTCATTGACTCCTTGAGGATCATTATCCATGACAACTCTATACCCCTCATCTGCAAATCCTTCTACACCCTCACCATTGGATTTGTTCACATCAAGTTCTTCATTCACATCAATCTCTTTGTTTAACTCTTTTTCTGCATCAACTACAACAAATTCATCTACAAATCCTTCTACACCCTTACCCTTATCAACTTCACCACTTGCCATTGTTTTTTCAGCACCTTCCCAATCCAATTTAAGCATTCTACTACAAGACGATGCCCCTTTACTATGTTTCCAACCTTTAGACCTACTAAATTCAGGTGTTGCTGATTTGTATAAGGTTAATGCTAACCCTAAATCACCCTCACCAACATCAATTTGGATTGGAGTTACCACTTCATGAGCAACTACAGGTGATGAGGGTCTAATGGAATCCTGCTTCTCCATGTCTTCTATTATAACCCTTCTTGGACCAGTTGGGGACATAAAATATGTAAGCAAGTTCGTTTGACCATGCTCTGTGTACACTTTAATCATTTTGTTATTATGGGTAACATATCGTGAGAGATTACGCACATCATCATCGTTACCTAATGCTCGGAGTCCAAAGTCAAATCCTTCATTAGGCAAACGGAAATGGTAATACATGATTTCAGTACCATCATACCCTAATTCTCTCATCATCGAGTCTAGTTCATGAACAGAAAATTCATCAATGTCGACAACATCAAAGTACCTTACTTGGCCATTAATATACCTGATATTTGGAAACTTTGTGAAACTCCCTCCGTGATGAAGTTCAATAGAGAATATGTTGGGGTAACCATCTTCAAAACAGAAAGAGACGATTATTAGTTAGAGTTTTTCAAAGTTTGAAGCTTGATCATAAAATACAGAGTTTTTCTAAGTTTGAATCTTATCATAAACTTCTTGAACGTTGACAATCTCTCCAACATTTCTAAGTCCCCACATTTTCAAAAGCATGAACACAATCCAATTTTCAGATGATTGTTAGGGTTTTTGCGTTTGAATCAAGAGGTATGAGTAGAAGACGAAGGAGTGAGTACAGTCTGCAATCTTATTAATTGAAGTGGCGGCAACGGAGGCTAGGACCTAAAATGACCAAAATGCCCTCACATGGAGGGCACGTGAAGGCACTAACGGCTCCAAACAAACGGTCAATGACGGAATGGACTAAAAACCCAAGAAAACCTTGATTTTGAACCTTTGGTGCAAGCTGGAAACTATTTGGACCCCATCCAAAGGTTTTGGCAAACCACAAGGACCAAATTTGCAGTTTTGTCAATTTTTATCCGTTTGCAAAATAAAGGGTGAATTTGAATTTGAAGTGGGACGATTCAAAACTAATTATGTATAATAAAGTAATTTTACAAATTGTTGTTTATTGATAATTTTACAAAATCAGTTTTACAAATTGTTGTTTTATGATAATTTTAGTAACAAGATAGTCATTTTGTATTCAAACACCTCTACAGCTCTAACTTTTTCTTTTAAACCACCCCTTTTTGTTGACTTTTGTGTTATCTTTAAAATAAAATTATTAATCCTCATTTATATAGATTTTTTATTTTAAAGCCTAGACATATAATAAAAAATAATTGATGATATCATTAAGGGATGCTTCTCAGAAACTTCATGGACGATAGAGCCAGTGCATGTATAAGAAGAAGACAGTCAAAGCCTCAAGCCAACCCTCTGCCACGTGACACACACATCGCCCACGTGTCCAACACCCACTGCCACATAGCTCTCAGACATTCACACACTTTGTAATAAATCAAACCACTTTCCTCACTTCCATACTACACTGTTCGCAAATTCAAGAAAAAATGGTTACTACTTCTCTTTCATTTCGTGTTGTACTCTCTGCATACTTTCTTGTAATTCTCTGCGTCTCCTTCCCTAACCCAACAACACCATTGCATGTTGGTGAAGGGGAGGAAGAAGGTGGTGGTATTCCGTTGCCGGTGCCGGCGAGGCATGGAGCGGTGGTGAAGAAAGGTGAGAGATGGAGTGTGGTTACGACAGAGTTCGGTGAGATCTCAGCTGTTAAAATCGGAGATGGTAGAGATGGGTTTTATCATCTCCAGTTCATCACCATGGAACCTAACTCTCTTTTCCTTCCTGTTCATCTTCATTCCGATATGGTTTTCTATGTCGACTCAGGTAACAAGTCTACAACCTCTGAATGCACATTATGAATTGTTTATTTGGGTACAGCTTTTGTATTCAAAATGATTCCGATGAATTATATTATTAACATGCATTTAATTACTGGTTTGGAGGGAGTGGAACTCTGAATTGGGTTGATCTTGAAAACGATGACGATAAACTCCGGCAAGTGGAGTTGCAAGCCGGAGACGTTTACCGGCTGAGCACCGGAAGTTTCTTCTACTTGCAAAGCAACTTAGATCCCGATCGCCGGAAACTAAGAATAAACGCCATTTTTTCCGATTCCAAAGAGGAGATACGAGTATGATGACACAAACTCAGATACACAAAATAGAAACATATGAGCATTCTTTCATCTGTTAATCGTTTATCATAATGCAGGAAGGATCATCGTTCGGAGCATACGCCAGTGTTCGTGATTTGATTCTTGGGTTCGACAACAGAGTTCTTCAAGCTGCATTTAGCGTAAACATTCTGTTAATCTAAAAACATTTCTTTTGTCACAGATCGATGTAAATGGTTATAAATTTATGTGATTGATCAGGTGGATGTGGAAGTGATCGAAGAGTTGCGAAGTGGAGGAAAACAACCGATGATTGTGCATGGAGTCACACAGGAAAAGGCGAATGAGTTATGGGAAGTCCATTACAGAATCATGAGAGCTTTCCTTGGTCGTATGAAGAATAACATGATCGATATTAATATTAATAATAATAATAAAAAAGACAAAGCTTATAATATCCTCTCGGCGGATCACGACGTTGATAATTGCAACGGGTGGAGTCTGGTTGTTACAAGTAAACAGTTGAAGGCGTTAAAAGATTCGGATTTCAGTATCTTCATGGTCAATCTAACCAAGGTCAGTTACTTTTCAATCGTGTAAGCTCTAGTTTTTACATAAACTTTACGATTTCTGATTATGGTGGGGTTTGTAATTAGGGGGCAATGATGGCGCCACACTGGAACCCAACTACGGCGGAGATAGGGGTGGTGGTGAGAGGACGAGGGATGGTTAATGTGGTGTGTCCCGGTAGTTTAAATGAAACGGAGTGTAAAAATTCGAGGTTTAGGGTTGAAGAAGGTGATGTGTTTGTGGTGCCAAGATATCATCCGATGGCTCAGATGTCGTTTAATAATGGGAGTTTTGTGTTTATGGGGTTTACGACTACAACGAAGAAGAATCATCCGCAGTATTTGGTGGGGACAGCTTCGGTGTTGCAGGTGTTGGATAAGAGTGTGGTGGCGGCGTCTTTTGGGGTGAGTAATATGACGATGGATGAAGTTTTGAAGGGTCAAAGGGAGGCGATTATTGTTGAGTGTACTTCGTGTGCTGAGGAGGAAGAGAGGTTGATGGAAGAGGAGATTCAGAGGGAAAAGGAGGAGGAGAGGAAGAAAGAGGAGGAGGAGAAGGCTAGGGAGGAGGAGGAGGCGAGGGAGAAGGAAGAGGAGGAGGCTAAAAGGAGGGAGGAGGAAGAGGAGGCCAAGCGGCAGGAAGAGGAGGAGAGGAGAGAGCAAGAGGAAGCACGGAAGAGGGAAGAGGAGGAGGCTAAGAGGAGGGGGAGGAGGAAGCGGAGGCCAAACGGCGGGAGGAGGAGGAAAGGAGGGAGCAAGAGGAAGCACGGAAGAGGGAGGAGGAAGAGGCTAGGCGGCAAGAGGAGGAGGCAAGGAAACAACAAGAGGAGGAGGCTAGGAGGCGACAAGAGGAGGAGGAAGCCGCTAGGCGGCAGGAGGAGGAGGAGGCCGCAAGGCGTCAGGAAGAGGAGGCTAGGAGGCGACAGGAGGAAGAGGAGGCTAGGAGGCGACAGGAAGAGGAGGAGGCCGCTAGGCGTAAGGAAGAGGAGGCTAGGAGGCGAGAGGAGGAGCAAGCGGCTAAGAAACAACAGGAGGAGGAGGCTAGGCGGCGGCAAGAAGACGAGGCGGCTAGACAACAAAGAGAAGGCTAGGAAACAAAAGGAAGAGGAGGCGGCCAGGCGACAGGAGGAAGAAGCCGCTAGGCGACATCAACAACAAGAAGAGGAGGCTAGGAGGCGACAACAAGAGGAGGAGGCTAGGAGGAGGGAAGAAGAGGAGACGGGACGTGGTGGTGGTGGAGGACATGGAGGAGGAGGAGAAGGGGAAGCCGCTAGTAGGGAGGAGGAAGAGATGGCGAGGCGGCAGAGGGAAGCGGAAGCTGCAGCTAGAGGAGGAGGAGGGGGTGGTCAGGAGAATGGAAGTTATGAAGAGTAAGAAACTCCATCAAAGCATGTTTATATTTTTGTGATGAATAATTTCTATTTCTTTGGTTAATCTAATAGTAGATTTGTGGTTGGTTTTGTGCATCTGTTGCATTAATTATGTTCGTTAAAAGATGAAATATGAATTTCTTTGAAGCTATGCATGTGCCAAGGAACAATAGAGAGAAATAAAAAAATAAAACTTAATTAGTTATATGCGGAAAACACAACGTGGGGCCATTATCTAGGGGTGAGAGTAATTTTAAAGACTTGAAACTAATGGCTGATTCATCACTGGTTATTATAACGATTTATCATTGGTTACTATAATAATTCTTAATAATATTTACTCCTTTTCGTGAGCTTGTTTGAAGTGTTTGAAGTATTGTTATGATTAGATTGATATTTTTTCGAATCAAGTGATTCGTACACAACAATTTTTTGCAACACACAAAAATTTAAGATTCGTACAATACACAATTGTTCTAAGCAAAGAATAGTGGCTAACACTTTGAACCAATTTCATGCAAAGATAAACGCAATCTTTTATTGCATTTTCTTAGAGCTTGCTTAAGCACATATAAAGACTTAAGCAACTTACATGATTATACCTTTGAGGTAGATTTATAAACGCCTCCTCATCTAAATTACAATATAAAAATGCATTGTTAACATCTACAAATATAAACTCTAATTGTTGTTAACAACAAAGGTAATTACTACAGGCAAAATTACCATTTAATAATTGGACAAAAAAATGTTTCTTTAATTTATACCCTCTATTTGGTTAGGGAAAATAATTTATATGGGTAACTATCGTTCAAAATCATTCAAAAATATCATTCAAGTTTGGTGCATTTAAAAAACACCATCCAAGTAAACGATTTGTACAAAAAAAAAAAAAAAACCAACGAAATACATTTCTTGTTCAAATTTGACCTTGTGGCAACCGACAATTACCGGTAAAAAAATAAGTAAAAGAAGAAAAAACAAGAGAAAATGACTAAAATGTGTAATTATGTTTCAAAATCGTTCAAAAAACATTATCCAAGTTTGGTATGTTCAGAAAACACCATTTAAGTAAATTTTTTGTACAAAAAACACCAACAAACTATATGTTTTGTTCAAATATTACTCACCTAGCTCTTACATGTTAAATGATGACTTGACTTAACTATTATGATATGACATAATAATTATTGACAAAACAATAAATTATATATTCC